AGAGAGAGAGAGAGAGAGAGAGAGAGAGAGAGAGAGAGAGAGAGAGAGAGAGAGAGATGGGTGAGGGGCGCAAGGGGACTGCAAAAGAGGGATGGGATGGGGAAGCGAAGGGGCGTAGAACGGAAAGAAGGGGAACGGAAAGAAAAGGGGGTAGAAAGGGGGGCGGTGAGGGGCGGGTTAGGTTACCATAGCAACCGCTGTGAACTCAATATCCCTCGACATGCAACCAATTGGGAGTTAAACCCCCTGCGGGCACAACTCCAGAGCAACCCCGGAAAGAGAGGGGAGGTGCCCGGAGGGCAGTGGCGGGGGCGGGGAGCGCGGCGGACGAGGCCGGGCCGGGGGCCAGGGCTCCGAGAGGCTGTGCGGGCGCGGGATGGGGGCGAGGGGCCCCACCCGGCGGGCCCGGGGGGCACTCCGGGCTTGGGGGTCCGCGGGCCGCGGCGGGGTACAGCCGGGGCTGGCGGGGTACAGCAGGGACAGGCGGGGTACAGCAGGGACAGGCGAAGTACAGGCGGGGTGCAGGCGAGGTACAGGTGGGGCACAGGGCACAGCCAGGGCACAGGCGGGGTACGGGCGGTCGGGGCCAGGGAGCGCCGTGGGATGAGTGCTGTGCCAGCCAGGACCCCGCGCAAGGCGTGGAGCACGGGGTAGGAGGCCTGCCTCTATGCACTGCCGACAAGGCGTGAGCGGCTGGCTACCCCCCTCGGCCCACGCTGATGTGCGCCGTCAGGTCGGCTGTGGCAGTACAGGCCGCGCGCGATCGGGCCTACGCAGTGCTACGCCGCAGTGCACCGCGCAGCCAGGGGATGAAAGGGCGAAACAGGCCGGGCCTGGCCGGGGGGGAATTCTGAGTAGAGGGTTGCGCTCTCATATTGGCTGACAGGCTTTCTCCCGCCAACCCTCTCGCCCCACCTGCCCGGCCTGTGTTTGTGTGTGGTTTCGCGGTGTTGACGGGCGCCTTGACGTCTGCCTGACGTACGCGGTGCCGGTGCGGTGGAGAAGAGTGTGTGTGGCTCGAGCGGGGCGGGGTAGGGGGTTGGGGTTGGGCAGGGCGGGGAGGGCGTGCGCGCTCTTTACCGGCTGTTCCAACGCAGCGTTAGCAGATCCGCCCCCCGGCTGGCTGCTCATCAGTGTGTGCTGCTGCTGCTGCTGGAGCTGACTGTGGCGCCCGGGCAGGACAGGCGCCACCCCGACCACGGCCAGGCAGGACCCTCTGCGCGAGCCAACACTACTACAACTGGCTGTCAAAACAGACAAAACTATAGCGTACAAGTAAGTTCGGCCGGAGCGGCAGACATTCTCCAGCGGATGTTGCCATAACCTCGGTCAACCCCGCCACCGTGGCGCACGTTCTCCGGGGCCGCGTCGTGGGGAGAGGGAGAGGGACAGCCGGTAGACTGATTCCGCACTTCCGCACGGGTCTTTCGTACCCCCGTCCTTGCCGCACTCATGAGGCAAGGCCATTAGGCGGGAGATAGAAACCGCCCTTGAGCACTCTGCGGAATCAGTCTGTAGAGGAGCGGTAAAGGGTACAGAGTTAGAGAGATGCGATAACCTCCCGGGCGGGACATGCAGAGCGACTCCGCTCACAAACTCCACGTTACGACGACGTCGAGACCGTCTAGACGAGCAGAACGGCGATGTTCCATCGAACATTCCGTCCTTCGCCCCGCACGCGCTAAAGTGTTCGCGTCGCGGTCGTCGTCGTCTCCAGGGGGTTGCGCCTCCCTCTCCGCTCCATGTTCATCCCGCCACTATCAGACCCCCTTCCCCCCTTCTCTTTCTCTCTCTCTCACTCACTCACTCCCTCTCTCTCTCTTTCGCTCTTCGGAGCCACCAGCCCGGGGGGCCTGAAGCACAGCCGAGCCGGAGCACGGCGCGGAGCACGGAGAAAATTCCGCGGGGTAAACAGCCCTAGGCGCCAGGATTAATAAGCACGCATTGCCCGGGGCGGCGCGGGAGGGGAGGGGGGCGTTTTTGCTACTCTGCGTAACGTATGTGTTACCATCATCCCTCTCCGCACCCACTATCCCTCTTTTTCTCTGCGCCGCCGGGCCGGGGCTGGCTGCTAGAGGGAGAGAGGCGGAGAGCGACGAGCCGCTGTGTGGGCCAGGTCTCTGTAGAGAGCGAAACTAAAGAGAACCAGGGTATATGAACAAGGGGGATGGGAGAGGGAGGAACGGAAAGGGTGTGGCAATGGCGGTAAATTTATGCTGTATCGGGCTGCTAATTATAACGATCGTGGGAATTAATCTGCGGCGCAGATAATTCAAGTTGAATCACTTCCTGTCCTCTCCCTAACCGACAAGCTGCGGCCGCTACTGCACTCCATTCAAGAGACTAACTGCCCCCCGGCGGCCAGCCCTCGACTGTCTCCCCTCGACACGGGGCCGCGCCCGCGCCACCTCTCAGACCACACGCAGGTTCAGTGCCGCCCCTCCCGACCTCTCCTCTCCCTCCTTAAAGTCCCTTTCACCGCAACCCCTAGCCGTCGCCTGTGCATTGACCACCACACGCAGGTACTCACACGCTGGGTTGCACTACAGGGAAAGGTAATAGGCCAGTAGGAGGCAGGCAAGCACTGGTGCATCGGCTGTCTTGGACGCAAGAAAGGCACCCGGTCTCGCACGGAAAAAAAGAATTTGTTCCCACAACTAACGATTTAGTTAACATGGACATAACAAACAATTTTAGTTGCAGGATCAAAGAATTTGCCATGGGAAGCAAAATTATGGTGTCACAACTAACGCGTCGCTATGGTAACAAATGCGTTTGTTGTAAGCAAAAAAACTCGTTTAGTAACCAGAACAGTTGCATTTGTTACCATAGAAACGCGTTAGTTGTGGCAGCAGAATTTCGGTTCCCATAGCAATTTCTTTGTTCCTGCAACTAAAAATTATTTGCTATGTCTGTTAACAAAATCGTTAGTTGTGGGAGCAAATTCTTTTTTCCCGTGTCCTCGCCCTCTCTGCTCCCTCGAACTTGGAGGAGGGCCACGTGCGTGGGTCACTTTTGCAAGACCAGAGACTGCTGCAGCTCATTCGCGAAGGCGCGACGGCGGCGGGACGGACGACGGACGGCTTGGCTCCCGCGAGTTCAATAGCGAACCCTCGGGACCGGGGAGTCGCGCACGACAACGGGGCGTAAGTAAAACATGACGCGGTCTGCGGGCGGAACCTCAAACTCGATGCGGTCTGAGCCAGGAGAGCCAGGCGCCGGCCCAACCAGGGCGGCAGGGAGGCGCCATTCAAACGGCCGCCCTCGCCGAGTTGCTGCCGACCGTGCTGATAAATTCATTGCGATAGAGTCCTCAGAACCGCGCGAAAGGTTTTAGAGCAGGAGAGGGAAAAGGAGGTGCGAATATAGTTCCTCACAGCAAAAGAGTATTGTGACGCCTGAAAGACTGTGTGTAGTCTGTGTGTAGACTGTGTCTAGTAGCTTCCCTTTCGGCTTTGGGATCCACGAGTTCTCTCTCGTGAGTTCGTGAACCCCGTGCCCGTGTTAAGCCCTTGATCAAGAGGTCGTATCGCTCCGTGCCCCCCCCCCCCCTCAGTTTTAATGGTTCAAAGTCAAAGTCGGTCTCTCTGGTAGTGCTTGGCACCTACGCGCATCGCTAGTGTGCCCCCGTGTGTGAGAGAGAAATTTCGTGCTATTAAAGTGATGAGGTGTGGGGAAATCATCAGTGGATTCTTGTATGTCATGGTGGCGTCCCCTGCGTCCCTTCTATCATAAGCTGCAGCACTACACACCCACCTTCAATTTGCCGAAATACGTAACGCAGAATTGTTGCAGTGCCTCAATTTAACTTGGGTCTATAGTCTCCAACAACTTCTCCAGTAAGGCATACAAAATACATCGATGTTCGAATAAAAATGTATTTGTTTTATAAACAACCACGGTGACGGATTTCCATGTTATTACACACAAAAAAGAAAAGAAAAATCCTCAGCGCAAAATGTCATTTGCAGTGTCGGCCAGTGTAAAAGCATGGAGAATACTCTCATGATAAAAGCCGATAAAAGCTATAAAGTACTGATTGGTGCACAGCGGAGCTCGCAATTTTTAAGCAGACAAGAAAGAAATGGATAATAATCTTGATCTAGGCGTTGCCGATGTGTCGCGTTGGCCCTGGGTCCTGGGCTGCAAGGGTGTTTGCAGACGATGGCAGTAGCTTAGGCGGTCACACCACCGGGTCACGCGTAAATCTCTAAGGAAAACACAAACCACTGGTCACAATCCAGTGGGTCGTGCCAGGGCACTGCTCACCCGCGGGTGCGCGCACTCGCTGCTGGTCCTGGCCTCGCCTAAAAGACTTCCCGACACCTATCACCGTTGCACTTCCAGCACAGCACCCGGGCACCCGCGGGAAGCGCCGCACGCAGCAAGCCGCGCTGCCTCGCGCAGGTCTCGGACGAAGAGTGGTCTATGGGCAACGCATCTACCAGCACGAGCTTCTGGAGCGCGCGTAGATCACACTGCGCCAGCAGAGACAACAGCTGGTTGCACGTTACATGCTGTTTCATTAATCGGGCACGGAATGGTCCACTTGACGGATAGACTGTCTTGTGGCCTGGCTCCAGCTGCAGCACCTGCAGCGTGAGCCGATGGGCCGGCAGCAGCAACGGCAGCAGGTCGCAGGGGATGCCGATCAACTCGAGCCACTGCAGGCGCGCTGGTGCGTCTGTTAGTCCCTGCGACAGAGAGGCGCCGGCAGCGCTAACCTCCTCATGAAAGCTCATGCTGCTGTTTATACCACCACCCACTCTCAGTCTCTTCAGTCGCGACATGGCGAGCGCCGCGCGCAGGGCAGTGAGTGAAGTAGGCGGACTCAAACTCAGCTGCTGCACGGTGGGCTCTGCGATCGGAAGGTGGGGAGCGACTTCCTTTGTCACATTGAGCAGCCGTTGCACCTGCACAAGAAAACAAGACTCACATTTTGTGGCGGGGCGTGGGCGTATCAACCACCGGGTGCAGCCCCTCAAAGTCCGCGAGAGAGCAGCACACGAATTGAATACAGGTGGGAAAGAGAGGGTTAGATGCCGAACACTCGCGTGCCCAACCTGGATCGACTTACCCCACGAAAGACAAGTAGATTCCCGGCCAGATCACTAGACCTGAGGTCCTTCGCACAGTCGAGTACGCGGGTGCAGATGCTGTTTGTGATCTGGTGGAGGCAAAATACAAAAGTATTGCAAGTAACTCGCGAAGCCTGACAGGCAGGAGGATGGTACTACTCCAGTAGAAAGTGAACAAGTTTCCACAT